CTGCGCCTGCCCAGACCTCCGGAGGGGCTGCGGCGACCTCCTCCCGGCCGGGGCGTGCCAGGGGCCCGGGGGTCGGTGTCGCACTTCCGCCTGCAGGGACCGAGACCTGCGAGCTCCCCACCCCCGGGCCCCCAGCCCAGCCCCGCGCGCCTCACCCCGGCGCGGTGCTCCTTCCCGGTAGGCGCTCGCCCCTGGGCCGGCTCGGAACCACAGCGCCTCCGCGGACCAGGACGGCCGCCGGGAGGTGTTTCGCGTCCAGCAGCCGGCGGCGCCGGCGGTGCCCGCCTGGCGCCCGGGGTCGCCTCGGGCGAGGGTCTATACCGGAACCGGAGCTGGCGGTGGCTTCCGTGGGTGTGGGCGGCGGAGGCTGCCGCTCACCTGGGCCGCCCGGGCCCGGGCGTGGCTCGGGGTGTGAGACCAGAGGCGCCTTTATTCTCACGGCGTCGCAGCGTTCGCACAGCCGAAACCGCCGAGTCCCGGTCGCCCGGACGCACGTGGATTCTCCGACCCGAGGGGACAGGGCACGGAGGCCCCGCGAGCCGCAGTGCCGCCGTCCGAGCCCAGGAGCTGGCCGGGGTCCCTCTCCCGCTCTGCTCCGGGCTGGAGCCCCCCCCCCCCCGCCCGCCCCGGCGCCCGATCCCCGAGCCGAGCAGCTCCAAGTTCTTCACGGTTTTCTCTGAGAATTGAAAACGCCTGCAGTCCCCGCGGCCGCGTCCCGGAACAGTGCGGGGACCTCTCCCTTCCTTCTCCTGCGTTCCCAGAAGCGTGGCCGCTGGGTCCTCGGGGGGCATCCGTGCGTGGGGTTTAAGGGGACCTGGTGGTTGTGTCACCGGAGATGGCTGCCCTGGGGCGCTGGGCTCAGGAAAGAACTCGGACCTGAGAGAGAGCAGGCCGGGTTCGTGGGGCAGGGCGTCCATCAGGACGGAATCTGCGGGAGACTGCTCGGTCCTTCACGAAGGGAAGGGGAGGTTGCGCGGTCTGATGGGGAGAGCGCTCGGGGGAACCCAGAGAGCAGGTGTTCGGACGGGGCTTTGGGAATGGGTCCAGTGCTTGCCGCCAATTCTCCTTCCCTCCCTGTCCTGGACAGAGGGCCTGTAAAACTCCTCCCCGGGTTTCACTGCTGGGGTTATCAGTGGGGAGTCCGCTTTCCCGAGGGTGCTTCCTGGGGGAGGCTGTGAGGTTTTATTGCACGATCAGAGTGGCCGCTGGTGCCTGGCAGGGAGGATTCTCCTGGGGGAAGGCCTGGACCACCCGTACGTTTCCCGGGGTGTGGGCGGGACTTTGTGGGGAGAACACTGGGCCGCTTCCCTGAGTTCCTTCTCAGCAAACTGTGTTTTCCTTAGTCCCCTCACACACATGTCCCACCCCACAGTTGTGCTGATTTTCGGTCCCACCAGCAGTATGTAAGGGTTCCCTGTCTCCCCGTCCTCTCCAGCATGTGTTCCGGCTTGTCTAAGCTTAGCCGGGTGATTACTGGAGGCCGGGAATTGGGGAGGTTGGACAGCAGGTAGCAGAACATAGAAGGAGAAGGTGCTGGTGGTCCCCAGTGGGGCGACTGCAGACGGCAGTGTTGTACACATTGCACTGAGACCTGGCAAGAGGGGCTGGCAGGCTCCAAACAGAGAAAGGTGGGGAGGGGGAGATGCTGAGTTGCTCTCCCTGCCGCTCGTCAGTGTTTCTGTTCCCCCTCTGTCTGCTCCATGTCTGCCTCACTGCCATGTGGCTTAGGGGTGGGCAGTGTGGTGGGCTGGGTCGGGGTGGCCTCAGCTTTTTGCTTTGGCTTGGAGCCAGAGGGGAAGCTGGGCCAGAGCTGTGGGTTAAAGTCACACAGACAAGGGCAGAAGCCGTGCAGAGTTCAGAGGAACGGAACCCTGGTTCCAGCCAGGAAACCTTGGCAGGTGTCACGCCAGCGCTGGGGAGCGGCCGTCTTGGGCTCCCTTCTCTTTTTTTGCTGATTGCTGGTTCCTCTCCTTGATTAGATTATGATCGTTCTATTTGCCTGGAGCAGAGGTTGCAAGTGCACGGCATCCCCAGACCCTCGACTTGTAGAGTGACCCATGCGGATCTGACTGGTCCATCTCCTTCCAGAAGAGGGGTGCTCTCGCGATGGGAGGAGGGGCTGTCATGTGTGATGAGTGCCGTCATCTAGGGAATTTTTGCTGAGGAAGGGGCCCTACATGTGTGCATGCAAGCATGCAGGGCCCAGGGCAGTACCATAGTGGAATGTGTGATATTTTTTGTTTGCTGCTGTCCAAGTGTGTAGGGATTTCAAAAAAAAATTTTGAAGTACCCTTGTGGTAGTTTCCTATCACTGTTGTAACAAATTACCACCAACTGGGCAGCCTGAAACCACACACAATACTCTTCTCACAGTCCCAAGCGTCACAAGCCCGGTGTTGGTCATACTGCTGCTGTCTACAGACTCTAGGTGAGAACCCATTTCCAGTTCAGGTTGTTGGCAGAATCCAGCTCCCTGTGGCTGGAGGACTCAGGTTCCAGTCTCCCTGATGGATACCAGCCAGGGCCGTGCTGGGCACCTCGAGGCCACCTGTGCTGGGCACCTTGAGTGAGGCCGCCTGTGCCACTCCTCCTCCCATCTCCATTCAGGTCCCTCACAGGTGCCTCCTTTTTTTCCCTGGACTCCTCTCCTTGGGTCAGAACCTCTTGGGTAGTCCCTGGCAGTGTCCCTGTTTTAAGGTCAGCTAACAAGGCAAACCCAGTCCCGTGTGTGTCATGTAATGTAACACACAGGGCATCAGAGTGTAATGCTCAGGGCCACTCTTCCACCTGCGCTGAGGACTGTGTCTGCTCTGTCTGTTCACTTGCTAAGCAGTTCCCCAGAGCAGTGGGCTCACTAAGCACTATTCTGCCTCACTGGCCAGTTTCTTTATTCTCACTTTGAGAAGTAATGACTTGAACAGCTTTTTCTTTATTCATAAGTTGATGCTTTAAACTTGATTTTTGTGTGTTAATTTTGTATCATGAGACATTGTTGAACTCACTTATTATAATAGCCGAAAAATTCCCATCTTCGGGAAGCACAAAGAACCAAAATTAAATGCAACTGCAAAAGGATCTTGCTGGGGCTGGCGCTGTGGCGCCGTGGGTTACAGTCCTGGCCTGAAACGATGGTATCCCAGCTCTCTGCTGGAAGATGACCCAGGTCCTTGGGCCCCTGTACTCATGTGGGAGACCTGGAAGAAGCTCCTGGCTCCTGGCTTCGGATGGGCGCAGCTCCGGCTGTTGCGGCCATCTGGGGAGTGAACCAGCAGATGGAAGACCCCTCTCTCTCTCTCTCTATCTCTCTCTGTCTCTATCTCTCTCTGCAACTCTGTCTTTCAAATAAATAAAATGAATCTTAAAGAAAAATACTTGCTAAGGCACATCACAATCAAGTTGTCTCTGGGTCTGCAGGCCCGGTGGAGTTTCTGCCTCTGTCTGGTCTTGCAGGGGGTGTGGAGCTTTGTCCTCAGACCCGGTCTTTCCTCTGTGTCTCTGATTTCTGTGATGGATAATAAATCTATACAAGGACACTCTCATTGCTAGATTTTTAAAACTTTTTTTTATAAAAAAGGTTTTTTTATTTGAAAGAGTTACATGAAAGAGAAGCAGAGGCAGAGAGAGACAGAGGGAGAGGTCTTCCTTCTGCTGGTTCACTCCCCAATTGGCCACAACGGCCAGAGCTGTGCCAATCCAAAGCCAGGAGCCAAGAGCTTCTTCCGGGTCTTGCACACAGATGCAGGGACAAGGACTTGTGCCATCTTCTACTGCTTTCCCAGGCCATAGCAGAGAGCTGGATCAGAAGTGGAGCAGCTGGGACTGGAACCAGCACCCATATGGGATGGTGGCACTGCAGGTAACAAAAAGCTAATACAGAAAAATTGGTACCAGAAGTGGTACTCTTAACTACACCTGAGTATGGGAGGAGACTTTGGAATTTATTTAGTGGAAAAGACTGGAAGAGTTTTCAGGAGCAGGGTAGAGAAAGCCCAGAATGCTGTAAGCAGCGAGTCATGGGCAACTGCTGTGAGGGTGCAGAGAACCAGAATGCTGATGTAAATGTGGACATTAAAGGCCGTGATGATGGAATTTTAGATGGAAATGAGGATTCCATCAGGAATCTCAGCAAAGAACTGAGAGCTGAGAGAAATACACCTGGTAGAACAAGCAGGTGTCTCAGAAAGGAGCTAAACATGCGGTCTGTATTCAGACTGGGGCTAATAAGGGGAGGGGGTCCAGATCTTCCTGTCATTTTTCCTACCCCGTCCCACCTTCTCCTGGACAAAGAGTTTGCTGGGTGTGAAATAGGTAAAATTCTTGCCAAGGTTTTATTGCCCAGTGTTAGACTGGGTGGTCCACTTGGTGCTGGGCAGAGGATTCTCCTGGAGTGACTTTCTTGGGGGAAAGGCTGGGTAAAGTCATGGAGCACAGGCAGGACTTTGTAGCAGCTTCCAAGGCTGCTTCTGACGCTGCTCCATTCCTGTCTGGGGGTGCTTGTTTTCCTTTGCCCCCTCTCTCACCCAGAGGCTAACCTTTATGTTCCTACCTAACAGGTTCACCTTCATGGGACATAGAGACCACAGGAAGATCTGTTAAGGCAGTCCCCATAAAAATCTTCCTGAGACCAAACGCTGGAAGAGGGTGTTAGAGAAATCTGAGGTGGGAAGACTCCCTTCGTTCAAACAGGCACCAGAGATGGTGGAGGATCGAAGCAGATTATTTCATCAGTGGGCTCAGCTGGAATCACTTCCCAAGTACTGAGCCACAATCCCAAGTTTCTTACAATATTTATAGGTCCATTGGCATCATACCTTAGCTGTTATAGCATTGGTGGGTTAAACTTTCAGCCTATGTGAATTAGGTCCACACTTCCAATGGTTGGTGGGCGTGGTATGTTTGTAAAAGTGATACCAGGGGCAGATTTATTACGACAGATTTATGACTGGAGTTTGTTGGAGAACTTAGGACTTCTTCCCTCCCTAGACAAGATAACGGTGAGCAGCTGCTTCACTAGTTAATTGTGAGCAGCCACTTTTCAAGGTCTGTGTTGGGAGGAGGGGTCTGCTTTTCTTTCTTTGTCTCTGGTTGCTGCTGTATTTCCTCTACAAGGGAGTATCTCTAAAACCCAAGGCCCTCAATGTGGCCTTAACCAATGTGTCTTCCACACATTTCCTTTCACAAATTTAGCAAAAACTATGAATCTTGAGTTATCCTGTGGTTAGTCTAACGACTTTTAATGTTTGCCTAAGAATTTCAGGACCCACTGTCTTCCCTGACCTCCCAGAACTACTGTTTCTCCTTTAAAAGTGCTCCTGATAGCTTGTGGCTTGGGGAAGAGCATGTTTGGGACCAGAGTACACCCTCCTCTCGGTGACCACTCTGGTAAACATCGTATCTCATGCTCGGGCTCTGCAGGGGTCCAGCACTGAACAGCTCAGACCTAATTTATTCCAGTAACATTAGGGGTATTCAACCCTTAACAGATACATTCCTAAAACATGGGCTGCTCAAGCCTTGCCAGTTCCGGTACATTACTCCAAGTCTTCCAGGATAAAAACCAAATCGGGAATACAGATTTGTGCAAGATTTAAGGAGTTAATGAAGTGGTAATCCCTGTTCACCAGACTGTCCCAAGTCCACATGAAGTGGGGGAAGTGCGGCTTAATTTTTATTCCAGACCTTTGCCTTGAATAAAGAATTCTTGATGCTGTCATATGTAAATTTTATTCAGAACATGAGAAAGTGAACACACATGTGAGTACAGGTGGAGAAGAGGTGGGGGGGGGGCCCTCAGCACCTACTCCAGTCCTGGTCAGTGCAGAGAAACAGGTCTTCCCAGCTGTCGGCCTCTTTTATGAGGTTAGAAAGGGAGTGGCTATTTACATGGCGTCTCCCCACACAGGTCCTCTTTTATGAGGTTAGAAAGGGAGTGGCTATTTACATGGCGTCTCCCCACACAGGTCCCAGATGAAGGATACATCCTGGGAAGGGGGCTGTTTGACAAGCAGGCAGATAGGGTTATACATGGAGTGGGGGTGATGGCTTCCAGGTACCTCCAGCTCTGATCTACCAAGCTAGCTACCTGCCTTATCCCATATCAGAAGCATGAGGATGTATTTTTGGTAAGAATTGTTAACAAAGAAAAGATTTTTTATTAAATAAAGGCATTTGAAATAAAACATTTGTCTTAAAGGAGAATGTCTGGATTACCCTAAACTGAAAAGGAAAGGGCATAAAACCCTGCAGTTGTTTAAGTAACTCACAGATAGTCTGAGTGAGTCACAGGTTTGAGAAGGATAAATCTTATTAAAAAATTTTGTGTGTGTGAGAAAGTTGTGTATAATTTTTAAAATATTATTTATGTTTTCTCAAAATTGAGCAATATCAAAAGTACACTGACATAAAGCTGGTATTTGGTCCTTTGTGTTAAAGCAACAAGGTTTTTTTTTTTTTATAGATTTATTATTTGAAAGAGTTAGAGAGAGAGAAGAACAGAGATAAATCTTCCATCTGCTGGTTCTCTCCCCAGTAGCTGTAATGGGCGGAGCTGGGATGGTCTGAAGCCAGGATCCAGGAGCTTCTTCCTGTGGGTGCAGAGGTCCAAGGATTTGGGCCATCCTCTGCTGCTTTCCCAAGTGTGTTAGCAGTGAGCTGGATTGGAAGTGGAGCAGCCGGTACACGAACCAATGTCCATAAGGGATGCCGGCGCTACAGTCGGTGGTCTAACTCCTTCCCACAATGCTGTCCCCAAGATTTCTGTTAGTGGGGCCAGTGCTGTGGCATAGCGGGTAAAGCCACACTGCCTGCACTGCCAGCATCCCATATAGGTGCCAGTTCAAGTCCCGGCTGCTCCACTTCTTTTTTTTTTTTTTACCACAGAGTTAGACAGTGAGAGAGTTATAGACAGTGAGAGAGAGAGACAGAAAGGTCTTCCTTTTCTGGTGGTTCACCCTCCCCCCACAAATGGCCGCTACAGCCGGTGCGCTGCACTGATCTGAAGCCAGGAGCCAGGTGCTTCCTCCTGGTCTCCCATGTGGGTGCAGGGCCCAAGCGTCTGGGCCATCCTCCACTGCCTTCCCGGGCCACAGCAGAGAGCTGGACTGGAAGAGGGGCAACCGGGACAGAATCCGGTGCCCCAACCGGGACTAGAACCCGGGGTGCCGTTGCCGCAGGCGGAGGATTAGCCTAGGGAGCTGCGGCGCTGGCCTTCTCCACTTCTGATCTAGCTCTCTGCTATGCCCTGGGAAAGCAATAGAAGATGGCCCCTGCATCCGTGTGCGTAGAACTGGAGGAAGCTCCTGGCTCCTGGCTTTGGATCGGCACAGATCTGGCTATTGTGGCCAATTGGGGAGTGAACCAGCGGATGGAAGACCTCTCTCTCTCTCTCTCTGCCTCTCCTCTTTCTGTGTAATTCTGACTTTCAAATAAATAAATAAATCTTTAAGAAAATTTCCTGTTAGTAAAATTTTGAAAGAACTTTTGATCTTTTAATCTTTAAATTTGTTTTTTTCTTTAATTCTTTAACCATCTCCTGGACTATAGTTTCTCGTTTTTACAGCTTCTGTGTAATTAGTGATTGTCTTCCTCAACTTTAAAAAATTATTTATTTGAAAGGCAGAATGACAGAGAGGTGTAGGGGGAAGGACATACACACACACACACACACACACACACACAACATCCACTGGTAAATTCCTTAAACACCTGCAACAGCTGAGGCTGGGCCAGGCCAAAGCCAGGAGCCAGGAACTCCAGCCAGGTCTTCCACATGAGTGGCAGGAACCCATGTACTTGGGTCATCATCTGCTGCCTCCCAGGTCCAGCCTCAGGAAGCTGGATCACAAGCAGAGTAACTAGGACCCAAACCAGGCACTCCAACATGGGATACAGGTGTCCTAAGCAGCAGCTTAATCTGCTGCACCACAGTGGCTACCCCTCAACTTTACAGTCCACTCTAGTTCTGAGTAAAAGACATGATATTAGGGGCCGGTGCTGTGGCGCAGCGGGTTAATGCCCTGGCCTGAGGCACCGGCATCCCATATGGGCGCTGGTTCTGGTCCTGGCTGCTCCTCTTCCAATCCAGCTCTCCGCTGTGGCCTGGGATGGCAGTGGAGGATGGCCCAGGTCCATAGGCCCCTGCACCCACATGCTCCTGGCTTTAGATCGGCGCAGCTCTGGCCATTACAGCCATCTGGGGAGTGAACCAGCAGATGGAAGACCTCTCTCTCTACCTTTCTCTATAACTCTGTCTTTCAAATAAATAAAATAAATCTTTTTAAAAAAAGACATGACACTAAAAATGTTTATATTAGAAGCCTAGGATAACAGGATGAATTGACTTTTTTTTTTTTTTTTTTTTTTTGAGAGGCAGAGAGAGTGAGACAGAGACATATTTCCCATCCATGGGTTCAATCCCCAAATGGCCACTACAGCCAGATTCGGGTCAGACAGAAGCCATGAGCTACGAACTCCATCCAAGTCTCCCAAACAGTCTTCTGCCTCTCCAGGCTCATTATCAGGCCGCTGGATCAGAAATGAAGCAGCCAGGATTTGAACCAGCACTTTGATATGGGGTGCTGGTGTCACAAGTAACTTAAAATGGCTTAAACTGCTGCACCACAACACCAGTCCCTAAATTCTTTATTCCTGGCTTTTCTTGGTGTATTTAAATTGTTCCATATAATCAGATGATTTCATGTGTTTTTATTGTTTTAAATAGTTAACTATTCTTTTTTTTCAAAAAAGATTTATTTATTTGAAAGGAAGAGTTAGAGAAAGAGAGAGAGAGAGAGAGAGAGAGAGAGAGAGAGAGAGACTTCCACTCACTAGTTCACTCCTCAAATGGTTGCAACAGCCAGGGCTGGGCCAGGTTGAAGCCAGGAGCCAAGAGCTAGCCTCATCTGGATCTCCCACATGGTTGGCAGGAGCCCAAATACTTGGGCCATCTTCAGATGCTTTACCAGGTGCATTAGCAAGGAGCTTGATTGGAAGTGGAGCAACCAAGATTGAACCAGGGCTTATATGGGATGCTGGTGATGCAGAGGGTGGTTTAACCCACTGAACCACAGTGCAAGACCCATGAGTTAGGTATCTTATTCAAAATTTTCTTGTTTATAGTCTTTTCTAAATGCTATGTACTCATAACCTTGAACACATATTATCCCAGTGTTTAACTAAATTCAAGTACTTTTCCATCGGGTTTGGCTTTCCCATTACCTGGAAGACTTTCTATAAGGATAAACAAGCACATATAACTCTAGAGACCTCTACTGAAGTAGTTTCCAAGATCAAAGAAAATGCATATATTCCCAGTATATCAAGTTCTTTTAAAGGCAATGGGGTTGAAGTTAGAACTCACTACGGCCCACCACAAAAGCTTACATGGATATCCATATGTCCCCATGACAGATGTGGGGCTGGCAGAGGGTACAACAACATGAGCAGAAGAGATGGCTTTCAGAGGATGAGGTGCAGTGCTTATGGTGTAGGCTACGGAGGCTATGATCATTATGAGAGCTATGATGTTAACTATGGATCTGGTCAGATAGATTTGGAAGACTTTGGTTCCTGTTTTTCAGGAATGTGTGATCATGGATATGACGCTGGTGGCTCTACTTTCCAAAGTACAACAGGGTACTGTGTACACATTCAGGGATTGCCTTACAGAGCAACTGAGGATGACTTAAATTTCTCTTACCTTTCAACCCTGTGAGAATTCACATTAAAGTTGGTCCCAATGGTAGAGTAACTTGGTGAAGCAGATGTTGAGTTCGCAACTCATGATGGTGCTGTGGCAGCTATGTCAAAAAGACAAAGCAAATATGCAACACAGATGTGTAGAGCTCTGCCTGAACGCTACAGCAGGAGCAAGTAGTGGTGCTTATGGTAGTCAAATGATACTGGAGACCTGGTCTTGTCAGATCAGTCCATTTATGGTGACCCAGACAGCCAGCAACTGAGTGGAGGTTACAGAGGGCACAGCAGAGCAGTGTGCATGTACTCAGTAGCTTAGAGCCATGAACAGCAGCAACTACACAGTGGAAGCTGTGTGTCAATGGGCGTAAATGGAATGGGAGGAGTGTTTGTCATGTCCAGTATGAGTGGTGGATGATGAATATAATATAATCCTGATCGCTGAGTGTTGGCCAACTTTTTTATAGAGAAAATACAACTTGAGATTAACAGTTTTTACAATACAAGCTTGTGATTTGTGCTTATTCTGTAGGCGGAAATCAAGATTGTTTTAAAGACATAAAGTTCGGCCGGCGCCGCGGCTCACTAGGCTAATCCTCCACCTTGCGGCGCCGGCACACTGGGTTCTAGTCCCGGTCAGGGCGCCGGATTCTGTCCCGGTTGCCCCTCTTCCAGGCCAGCTCTCTGCTGTGGCCAGGGAGTGCAGTGGAGGATGGCCCAAGTACTTGGGCCGTGCACCCCATGGGAGAACAGGATAAGTACCTGGCTCCTGCCATCGGATCAGCGCGGTGTGCCGGCCGCGGCAGCCATTAGAGGGTGAACCAACAGCAAAGGAAGACCTTTCTCTTGCTCACTGTCCACTCTGCCTGTCAAAAAAAGAAAAAAAAAAAAGACATAAAGTTCAGTATTTTTGAACATGAGTCACCTGGGATACAACAGCAAAGTTTACTGTCTACCTGCTAAACAATTTTCAGCTTTTCTCAGGTTAGCTACATTGTAAACAGTAAGCATATTTAGGTTAAAGCAACTGAATTATGTTAAATGTCACTCTTATACTACATTGCATTAAACATTGGATACATGTTGAAACTTTTTTGTTTATGGTGAAGCTTCAATATGGGAGTTGTATCTAGAATTACAAGTGAAAACTTTGGCATGTTTGTTAACCATAGTTTCATTTAATAACTTGTAAGGCATGTAAATTTAAGTTTTTTCTTCCCTGGGTTAATGGGGAAACATCTGGGGCACAATATCAATATTTTGGTATTGGTGAGGCTTTGATTTAAATCTTTGATTGTATTCTGTCTTAGAAAAGCAAGGCCAGGTCATGAACTCCCACCACGCTCCCACCCAGCCCACAGCAACCCTAACCCTGGAGCCTCCCCTTCTCCTTCAGCGATGAGCAGCAGGAGCTCCGTGGAACCCGCGTGTGGACCTTCTGGCCTAGTTCGGATTTTGTTTTTTGCAGAAACCAGCAAGGGGAGGATGAAGTTCAAGTTCACCTCTCAGAAAATAATTAAGGATTTGTTATATATGTTGATGAATAAGTAGACATGGGCTTTTATATCCGCAATAAAATTATAAAAACTGAAAAAGAAAATAAAGCTAGCGGCAGTTATCAAGTACTCCACCCACAGTCGAACAGCATTGTTCCAGATACGAATGCGTCCAGCGAAGAATCAGGATTCCACGCACTTAACTCGCGGAAGACATTATTTCCCACTACTCAGGTAATTCGGAAATCCGGCTCCCTGCTGGCTGAGGGGGCGCAAGGACTTTTGGGAAATGTAGTTTCGACTCACAAGATCACCGCACAGGCTCATGGGACGGCCCTCCCAGTTCTTTCTGCGCATGCGCCGCCCTGCCTCCTTCCGCCTTGTTGTCTTCCTCCCTGAAGTTGTCCCGCGCAGCTCCTGTTTGCTGGTGTTCCCGGGTCACTGGGGTTCTACTCCGTGTTCGTAGAGGTTGGTGCGGGAGTGGAAGAGGGGCCCCACGGACGTCGGAGGACTGGGAGCCGGCGGGAGCCCCATGTGGTGGGAGCAGAGACGTCCTGGGGTCTTGGCGGCGGATGCTGACGTGCAGGTGCGGCCTTTGGCCCCGGCAGCGTGGGAGGACGCCCACTGGGGTCGGGGCTAGGGAAGGGGTCGCTCCGGTAGCGCCTCCGCTGATGGCCGTGTCGGGGGACGCTCCGGAGCTGTGAGACCCGGGCGGCCCCCTCGGGAGGGCCGCGGGCGGGAACTGGCAGGAGTGTGACGTGCGGCCGCCGTCCTCCAAGGTTGCTCCCCCCGTTCATGTCGTCCCTCGTGGACGCCCCCCCCGCCCCGGCTATTCTTGCGCGGAACGTCCCCCCCCCCCCCCCCGCATCGTCCTCGTGGACATCCCACCCTGTCATCCTCGCGAACGTCCCCCTCCCCCGTCATCCTCGGGACATCCCGCCCGTCTGTCATCCTCGCGGACGTCCCCCCTCTGCCATCTTCGTGGAGTCCCCCCCACTCCGCTATCCTCGCGGACGTCTCCCCCCCCCCCCATCGTCCTCGTGGACATCCCACCCCGCCATCCTCGCGGACATCCCGCCCGCCTGACATCCCGCCCGCCTGACATCCTCGTGGACATCCCGCTCGCCCGCCATCCTCGCTGACGTCCCCCGACCCCCGGTCATCCTCGGGGACATCCCGCTCGCCCGCCATCCTCGCTGACGTCCCCCACCCCCCGGTCATCCTCGGGGACATCCCGCTCGCCCGCCATCCTCGCTGACGTCCCCCACCCCCCGGTCATCCTCGGGGACATCCCGCCCGCCCATCATCCTCGCGGACGTCCCCCTCTGGTCTGTTGGTCTCCACACGTGCCGGCTGGCCTGCGCCTGGTGTTGGCGGGGCTGGTCTGGGCAGCTCCTGGCCAGTGGTGCCCGGGATCACAAGCGAGAGGTTGGCCGTCTCATTTCTGGAAGACGGCCTCACTCCCGGTCAGTGGCTTGTGCTGGCCCTCGCTGCGCCCCATGTCCCTGTCAGGCAAGTCCTGGCTTCTTGACAAGATAACAGGCTAATTCCAGCGGGCAGATACTGTTCAAAACTGTGCATCAAGTCTACGGATGGTCACTGCAATGCAAAGGCCAGGCAGGGCTGCTGCAGGAGAGGACGTGAGAGCCTGGATCTGGAGCCTGTCCCTGTACAGCCTGTGTGGCAAACCTGGAGTCACAAGAGACACACTTGGTGAAATTCAGGTGTATGAGAGCAAGCGATGTTCTAGTGGGAACACTAATACAGAATCCTGTGTGGTACAATAGTTAATATCATCCAAGGGTTTTTCTATTAGGTTAATTTTAGTGACAGCATTCTGTTTCTTCCTTTGATGTACAGTAATATAGTTGAACAATCATCCTTAAAATTTTTTCATAGTAACACTAATTATTTTACAAAATCACTAACAAATAATTGTTTTAGTTGACCCAGTGATAACTGGCGTTTAACCTCCACCAGGTACAATTATGAGTGCTCTTTAAATGAGCTCCTTCCTGTCGCTTCTCCATGTTCCCCAATATGGGCGCCTTTTCCTTGTCCTCTGTTAGTTTCCGTCGTTATCTTGCTTTGCGCAGTAGGATCTAGGAGCAAGCTGGATTTGCAGGTGTGGGAGACCGTCAACCAGTGTAGGCAGCAAAGATTTATTACAACAAATGAAGTACACTTCATAAAGAGAGTGGAAGTGGGCTCAGGAGTTCAGGGGCCACAAAGCAAAAGTACACTCCACAAAATTATAGAAATAGATCTCTGGGAAGAATTCTGGGCCTTGAGTTTAATTTTGGTAGTTAATTTATAGTCTTTTTTTTAGAGAGGGGAGGGAGAATCGTTACCACGGAGACAGGCCAGAACATTTGGGTGGAGAGACATTGTCAGGAAGACTCCAGGAAGTCCTAGGTAGAGGGATGCTGCTGTCCTGGGTTGAGAGATCACTGAGGACTCCTATGAGCAGGTCTCTGACACAGTGCATTGTTAGTTTCTCGAGATTAGCTTTAGCTGGTCTCTGCCTGGGTTAGTCTTTATCACATGCATGCAGGTAGTCTTTAAGCAAGCTATTCATTCATTCATTCAAAAGGCAGAGTTATAGAGACAGAGAGCTCTTCCAACTGCTGGTTCATTTCCCAGATGGCCACAATGGCCAGGGCTGGGCCAGGCTGAAGCCAGAAGCCTGGAACTCCATCTGGGTCTCCAGCGAGGGTGGCCAGGGCCCAAGCACTCCAGCCATCTTTCACTGTTTTCCTGGGTGCGTTAGCAGGGAACAGGATTGAAAGTGGAGTACTTGGGGCCAGCGCTGTGGCATAGTGGGTAAAGCTGCCGCCTGCAGTACCAGCATCCCATAGAGGTGCCAGTTCTAGTCCTGGCTGCTCCAGTTCCAATCCAGCTCTCTGCTATGGCCTGGGAAAGCAGTGGAAGATGGCCCAAGTCCTTGGGCCTCTGCACCTGCGTGGGAAACCTGAAAGAAGCTCCTGTCTCCTGGCTTCAGATCAGCACAGCTCTGGTCGTTGTGGCCATTTAGGGAGTGAACCAGCAGATGGAAGACCCCTCTCTCTCTCTGCCTCTGCCTCTCTATAACTCTGCCTTTCAAAATTAATATTAAAAAAAAAAAAAAAAAAAAAAACAGAAAGTGGAGCACTTAGGACTCAAACTGGTGCTCAAATGGGATGCCAGTGCTGCAGGCAGAGGCTTAACCTGTTGTATCACAGTGCACGCACTTAAGTTAGCTTTTCCAAACTGGCATTTTTTTAAACCAGCAGAACAAGCAATTTTAGTTGTTACAGTAGCCTTTTATATTTACTCTTGTTTTTCTTGGACCTTAGCTACCTCCTGTCTCAAGGCCATTTCTTTCATGACTCCCTTGTTAACCTTCTCTTCCAGGTATAATTATGGAGTCCTCTGTGTTTCCAAGAGCAAAGAGAATGAATACATTTCCTGTAAGTTGTTTGTTTATTCCTCAGCTTGTTTTATATTGTATTTTAGGAGCTTTGTGAAGATTTTACTTAAAATGAAAAGGTAAAAATAAATACAGCATCAGAGAAATGTACATAAACAAGATAAATCTGGCAAGTTGTAAGACATTAGGACTGGGGCCAGCATTGTGGTGTAGGGGTTAGGCCACTGCCTCCAATGCTGCCATCCAATGTGAATGCCAGTTTGGGTCCTGCTTGTTCCACTTCTGGTACAGCTTCCTGCTGTAGAGCCTGGGAAGGCCATGCAAGATGTCCCCAGTACTTGGTTCTTGCCACCTGGTGGGAGACCCTGATGGAGTTCCAGGCTCCTGGCTTTGGCCTGGTCCAGCCCTGGCCATTGCAGCCATTTGGAGAGTGAATTAGCAGGTGGGCATTCTCTCTCTCTCTCTTTCTCCTCCATCTCTGTGATTCTGCCTTTCGAATAAATAGCTCAGTCATAAACAAGAGAGACATTAGGGTCATCTCAGTTGAGTACAGATTGATCTCTGATATTTCTGATCATTGCAAAAAGACATTTGCTGCATCATTGAAGTTGATCTGAAGAGGAGAGCTTGCTAAGTTCCCATGGGATTTGTGCCTCTATAGTCACATAAATGATGTAGTGAACAGTGTTTTTTGTTTTTGTTTGTTTGTTTTTTAGGATTCATTTATTTATTTGAAAGAGTTACACAGAGAGAGGAGAGGCAGAGAGAGAGAGAGAGAGAGAGAGAGAGAGAGGTCTTCTATCCGCTGGTTCACTCTCTGGTTGGCTGCAACGGCCAGAGGTGCACCCATCCAAAGTCAGGAGCCAGGAGCTTCCTTCAGGTCTCCTACATGGGTGCAGGGGTCTAAGGACTTGGGCCATTTTCTAATGCTTTCCCAAGCCATAGCAGAGAGCTGGATCAGAAGTGGAGTAGCCGGAACTCGAACTGGCGCCCATATGGGATGCCAGCACTTCAGGCGGCGGCTTTACCTGCTCCACCACAGCGCCAGTCTCGTGAACAGTGTTTTAGTGTCAGCCTGGGAATAAACATTCAGCATTCTGCAGTGGTAACAATGATCTAGTGCTAAAACACAAGTTGGTTAGTGTGTTTGTGGCATTGCTAAAATGGTCTGGTCCTGATAGCTTTTAGATAGAACCAGGGATGTGTGGAGAGAGAATCCACTGTAGGTCATGATTTTCCATGCATTTCTTTCAGCTTCTCTGTGCAGTTGGTGCCACAAGCAGTACAACGTTTTGTTTTGTTTTTTTTTTTCAGGCAAATATTTCCATTGCTTATTTGTGCTTTTATCTCTTCAGTGTAGTCTTAATTAAATTCTTGAAAGTTTGCTAGTAGCTTTGATTATAATCTAGTTTTCCTAACTTACTCTTCCGTTCTGTTTGTAACTACTGTCCATGATCTTCTGGAAATTCTGTTAGTCCCTGAGGGTTTCTTTTCCTTTTCCATGAACTCCTCTATGTTTCTTCTCTTTAACACGATTCATCCCAAGTGTTCCTGTTCTTCCCACTCTGCAGTTTTGCCCTCTCTGCTCTGATACTCCTGTTTATCTCCATGTGGACCTCTTCCCTAGCTTTAAGACCATCCATTCAACTCCCTCTTTAGTGCTTCCTTGTTACTGTCCAAAAGGCACTTAGAGCTCTGTAAATCCAAAATGGAAATCACATCCTTCAATTTTCACTTATACTCATGTATGGCATTCCTTCCAGGAAGCATTGGCCCAAACTACTAAAATGGGATTTCTCCTGGACTCCTCCCTCCCTCTTATGTTTACTCTCAACTGGTGTCAAATCTTGATGGGGGCTGGTGCTGTGGCATAGCTAGTAAACCCGCCTCCTTCAGTGCTGGCATATGGGCGCTAGTTCGAGTCCCAGCTGATCCACTTCTGATCTAGCTCTCTGCTATGGCCTGGGAAAGCAGTAGAAGATGACCCAAGTCCTTGGGCCCCTGCACCAGTGTGGGAGACCTGGAAGAAGCTCCTGGCTCCTGGTTTCGGATGGGCACAGCTCCGGCCATTGTGGCCAACTGGGGAGTGAACCAGCAGATGGAAGACCTCTCTCTGCCTCTCCTTCTCTCTCTCTGTAACTCTTACTTTCAGATAAATAATAAATTAATTAATAAATTAATTAATAAATGAATGCTACAAAATGATCTGGTAATAACTTCTCTCTGCTTTTGTCTTTAAGAAAACCATCTTTAAGAAAAATAAAAAACTTGATGCTTTTTATGGCTACATTCAGCAATTATAAAGGAGGAAGAGCTATTAATACTCAAGACCATTTTTATTTTAATTTAATTTTTAAAAAAGATTTATTTATTTTACTTGAAAGTTACTCTCCAGGGGCTGGTGCTGTGGCACAGTGGTTTAAAGCTCTGGCCTGAAGTGCAGGCATCCCATATGGGTGCTGGTTCAAGACTCGGCTGCTCCTCTTCCGATCCAGCTCTCTGCTATGGCCTGGGAAGGCAGTGGAAGTTGGCCCAAGTCCTTGGGCCCCTGCACGCACATGGGAGACTTCTGGCTCCTGGCTTCGGATCGGCGCAGCTCCAGCCATTGTGGCCATCTGGAGAATGAACCAGTGGATGGAAGACCTCTCTTCTCTGTCTCTACCTCTCTGTAGCTCTTTCAAATAAATAAAATAAATCTTAACAACAACAACAAAGTCACTCTCCGAATGTCTGCAACAACTCCTAGCTGTTGTTAATCTAGGAGTCTGGAATATATATTTCAGGTCTCTCACATGGGTGGCAGGAACCCATTAACTTGGGGCCATCACCACTTTCTTGCAGCATTAGTAGGAAGCTGGAGTCAGGAGCTAGAGCTAGGTGTGGAACTCAGGTATTGTGATGTGGGATATGGGCATCTTAATGTGTCTTGCTTGGGCCTAATACATTTATTTTTATATCATTCTCTAAGTACCTGAAAATATTTACGATAGCTTAGGCACCTTGTCTATTACAATGTATAGGTTGACTTTCTAGTGATTTTTTCTGGAGTATGAGTCACATTTTCCTCTTTATTGCATGTGTAGTGATTGTGAATCCTGGCCGGATATCGTAAATCACATGTTACAGAGTGTGGATATTACTTTATTCCTCTGAAGAATGATTTTTGTTCTACAGGGAGGTTCATTGGCTGGGTTCAAATTCCAGACTGTTCCTGCAGTGATGATTAGTCAATTCTTCAGCCTCCAGTGGCAGCTTTTATTGATCTTAATTCTCTGTGACCTGATGTGTAGTTAAGTAATCACCCAACAATTTTGGTGTGTTTTATATGCAAATTGAGTGTCTTAAATTCTTTTGCTTCTTCCTTTCCATGACTTATCACCCCACCCCCAGTTTCTGGTTATCTTCTTAGCCTTGAACTTTGTCTTCTAATGTCCTGAACCAGTGAAACTACAGCTTTTACTTCCTTGATTGTGTGCTGACTGGAGAATGTCCTTTAGTACAATGCCAAAAATTTGTGTTTGTTTTTCTCTCTTTTTTAAAAAAAGTTTTATTTATTTGAAAGGCAGAGAGAAAGAGATCTTTCCTGAATTGGTTCATTCCCCAAATGGCTGCAATGGCCAGAACTGGTCCAAGCCAAAGCCAGGAGCTCAGAGCTCCATCTGAGTCTCCCACTTGGGGTCAAGTCCTTAGGCCATCCTTCCACTGTTTTCCAAGGCACCTTAGCAGGGAGCTGGATCAGAAGTGGAGCAGTCAGGACTTGAACTGGTGCTCCAGTGTGGAATGCTGGCATTGCAAGTGTCATCTTAGCTCACCGTGCCACACCACCAGCTTCTGTGAATTTGTCCTTTAAGAGTTCCTTTAATCCAGTTTCTGCCTTTTATTCTATGTTCTCCAGGTCCTCAGAAGGTTGTGCTATAAATTTTGTTCAAATTTCATAATTGTTTTTCTTTAGAGGATTCAAATGACCAGACATTTTGTCATTTCCATGATACTTTTGTTTGTTATAAAATTTGTGTTCTCTTATTGCTTATATCTTTATCCATAATTTATTTTCTCTACTATGGATTATTGCTTCAGATATTTAAGTCTTATTTTTTTTAAAAGATTTTTTATTTATTTGTTTGACAGGTAGAGTTACAGACAGAGAGGGAGAGACAGAGAGAAAGGTTTTCCATCTGCTGGTTCACTCCCCAGATGGCCACAATGGCTGGAACAAGTTTTTCTTTGTTTTTTAATATTTATTTTATTTATTTGAAAGAGTTACAGAGAGAGGTAGAGAGAGAGAGAGAGAGAGAGAGAGAGGTCTTCCAGCTGCTGGTTCACTCCCCAAATGGCCTCATCAGCCAGAGCTGTACCTATCTGAAGCTTCTTCTGGGTCTTCCATGTGGGTACAGGGGCTCAAGGACCTGGGCTGTCTTACTGCTTTCCCAGGCTATAGCAGAGAGATAGATTGGAAGTGGAGCAGCTAGGACTTGAACTAGTGCCCATATGGCATGCCGGCACTTCAGGTGGCAGCTTTACTTGTTATACCGCATGCTGCCCCACACCTGCATTTTATAAACCACACAATACTTTGTTACTATCTTGCTTCAATTGGCCAATGACTTTTTAAAGAGTTTCAAAATAAGAGCAAAATATCTTTTTGCTCTCATGATTAACTGTTTCCAGTGTTCATCTATATTGATCCAGATTTCTGTTTGTTCTGTTTTTGCTTTTCTTTTTTGACACTGTGATCGTGGTATGCCTTGATATGATTGTTTTCCTTTCTGCCCTTTTTTTTGGTTTATAAAATGTAACTATAAAATGTATGACATGCATGGTATGTGTGTTTGAAGCGGGAAATCTGTTTAAGAAACTAGTGCAATCAGATAAGGTGATAGTTTATGGTGGTTTGTCAAAGAGCAGTTAGAGTACGTACAGTAAGGATGGGTCCAATGAAGGGTGTATTTTGAGGACAGAACCACTAGGATGATCATGTTTGCCTATTGCTTCACAAAACAATGTCTTGTAAAACTTAGACTCCTCAAATCTATTAGATGAAAGACTGTATAACAGGTTAATTTTAATTTGTATTTCTTATTTTTTGACATTTTGAACATCTTTTCATACTTTTCAAAAGAGCCTCACTTTTCCCCTGACATACAGATGAATTTCATGTTTTTTCCTTTTTTTTTTTTTTTTTTTTTTTTGACAGAGTTAGAGAGAGACAGAGAGAAAGGTCTTCCTTCCATTGGTTCATGCCCCAAATGGCTGCCACGGCCGGTGCTGCGCCAATCCGAAGCCAGGAGCCAGGTGCCTCCTCCTGGTCTCCCATATGGGTGCAGGGCCCAAGCAGCTGGGCGATTCTCATCATTCTTTATTTTTCCTTTTGGTCTTTCTGAGCAATTGAAACAAAGCCAACTTTTTCCATTTAAAGGTTTTAACAGTGGTTTTCATTTTTATAACTTTCATTTGTTAATCACCATGGGGTTGAATGTTACCACTCTTGGTTCCCAAAGCATATTTTTCTGGAAGATGAAACCTTGTCAACCTTAAACAATGAAAGAAAATGAGAAATGCTATGAATTTTATGACCCTACATAAACCCGAATTTCTCATAGTTGCCTATTTCCTTTCTCACTGTCTTTTTTTCTTCCTCCAATATTTATTTGAGAGAACTTCCATCTGCTGGTTTGCTCCCCCAAATACCTGCAACAGCCAGGGCTGGGCTAGGGCAAGAAGCAGGAATGGAACACACTGCAGATCTCCCAAGTTGGTGACAGAACTGAATTCAGTGAGACAGCACTGCTCCTTCCAGTGTCTTCTAGCAGGAAGCTGGAGTCAGGAGCCTGAGGTAGAAATCAAACGCAAGCCAAGTGTTTAAACGGCTAGGCTGATTGCCTGCTTCTATGCCTTTTGTCTTTATGCTTGCAATCAGCCTTACTTTTTTATTCAATGATTGCATATAGTACTTTACCAAATGCAATGAATAGTACCTGAGATATAGTACTGCCCTTATGTTTTTCCGTTTTAAGTGAGGTAAACATTCCTTGACTTAGTAAGCAGTATTTAGGTTATGTATATAAAGATACCACAGGTAATCATTACTTACATACCAGGGGCTTCAGAGCTTTATGGAAGGGCAGACATTGGGCCTGGTGATTAAGATGCCTGCATCCCATATCAGAGTACCTGGTTTGGAGTTCTGATTCCACTGTGTATCCCACCTTCCTGTTTTGTGACTCGGAGCTGATGTGTTGAGCAGAAATGTGCTGTTACAGGTGTTGATGTCATTTGAGGATGTGGCTGTGGACTTCACCTGTGAGGAGTGGCAAGTCCTGGATGATGCCCAGAGGAACCTGTACAGGGAAGTGATGCAGGACACCTACAGAAGCCTGTTGTCCCTAGGTGAGCAAAATTCCTTCTAACTCCTACGTGGAGTACTTTCTTCTTCTTTGACAAAGGAAAGAACCTTTTATGTGGTTTAATGTTATCTTGGTGTAAGATTCTAGCCTGTGAAAAATGTGATTATAAACACTAGTGAAAGGTTCAAATTGCTTCTTTCATTGCACAGCTCCTGAAGCCAAGCTGTTGTCATTCTTCAGAGGACCTGGCTGAGAAGTTTTGCGAAGTCCTACAATATTTCCCATTAACAGGGTTCTGCATCACCAAACCTGAGGTGATCTGCAGATTGGAGCAAGGAGCAGAGCCATGGACAGATGAATCCCCAACACAGAGCTTCCCAGGTTAGTCGGTAACAATGGGCAGGGAGGCTGGGAGAGGGGCAGCTTAGCAGAAACTGGCTGTGTTGGGCTGTTTTCACCAATTTTCCTCCCAAGCCCCAGCTCTGAGGATAGTTGGTTTTGTGTATCGGGCACAGGTATTATGCAGTTTCTAGGGAAGGCTGTCACCTGTTCATCCATCTTTGTTGTTCTTGCTGCCATTGAATATTTTCTTAGATTTTTCTTGGTTGGATTATTGTCTTAAGTCCTCAGTTGTCCTTTTCTTCATTTTTATACCCTTTTCCTTCAAGCATTTATGTAGTTCAATGCTTGTTAATTAGGCAGCTCACAGGCACTGTTCTTTTTATTTGTAGTTGGCAATAGTAGTGAAACCAATTTGTCATCTTTTAAAGATGTTTGATTCTCTTTACAGTAAAAAACAAAACATATATGTGGTAGCAAGATGAGAGAATGAAAAAATGGGTTCTGTTCTTTTAGGAAGAGTCTGCAGGGAAGACAGTTTTATAGAAAGATCATTACTTTGGGTTAGACATGACAGTCTGCAGATTTTGCTGTGCAATTATAGGGTATATAAAATCCAGAATAGATAGTATACATCACTGTTGGAAATAAACATTTGAGAATTGGCAGCTTAAAGGTGGTACAGTCATACTTGCAGAGGAGGACTCCTGGGAGGCTGGTAAAACAGAGAAGAGTTCCAGGAGCAAGTCTTGTCTGCCATGACGTCAGAAGTCATGAAGCTAACTAAGCAGGAGCTAGCAAAGGAGCAGTAAAGTGAGTGTTCCTGTACTGAGGAGGAAAGCCTGGAGATCCTGGGTCCCGAGGTCAAGTGAACTGGTGCTTTCATGTTGAAGGGCTCATACTTATTTTGAAGTGGAGGTTGAGTCAGCATTATCCCTTTCTCTTTTTCAAAATTACTCTAAAACAACAAAGACATAAGAAATGCATAGGAGAATCAGTTTTCTGTGAAAGTAGAGGACAACTGAAACTCCAGCACAGAAAACAAAAGCCTTCTGGTGCAATTGATTAATTTTAATGTGTATTTTCATCTGTTTGAAAGGCAGAGCAACACAGAGAGAGAGAGAGAAAGCACGATCTTCCATCTGTTCTTTCACTGCCTAAATGCCTGCAGCAGCCAAGGCTGGGCCATGGTGAAGCCAGGAGCCAGGAATTCCATGTGGATCTCCTATGTAGATGACAGGGGCCTAGACACTGGAGATGTCATCAACTGCATAAGAGAATATACAAACGGGAAAAAAAGCATGAATGTATTGAATGTGGGAAAGCTTATCACCACAGATGAGCCTTCATCATACATTGGAGATCTCACACAGGGGAAAGACCTTTTGAATGTGATTTTTGTGGGAAAGCCTTCTCCAGACATTTCAACCTTAAGAAACATCAGAAAATGCACACAAGGGAAAACCGTCATGAGTGTGCCAAGAGTTTGTGCATGGAAGGAGACCTCACTTTCCATCAGAGAACTCACACAGAGGAATAACCTTATAAATGTGATGAATGTGGAAAAACGTTCTCCAAGAAGGGAGGCCTCACGTTCCATTAGAGAACACACACAGGGGAACAGCCTTACAAATGTGATGAATGTGGAAGAACCTTCACCAGGAAGGGAGACCTCAGTTTCCATCAGCGAACTCACATAGGGGAAAAAGCTTATGTGTGTAGTTGCTGTCAAAAGCCCTTTTACTGGAAGTCACATCTCATTGCACATCAGAGAACTCACACAGGGGAGAAGCCTTAGGAGTGTAATATTTGTGGACAGGCCTTTTACCGAAAGACAGACATCAAGCATCACGGAACACAAAAGGGGGGAAGGCATTATGAATGTAATGAATGTGGAAAAGTCTTTTGCAAGCAGATACATTTCAGGACACATCAGAGGACTCACACAGGTGAGAAAACATAGTATGGAGAATTGCTGCAAATTCACCTCAACAGGCATCAGTCCTCACAGAGGAAAAACCTTATGGACATAATGACTGTGGAAGAGCTTTGCCGGGACCCACATTTCATCAAGTGTAGAGGAACTCACACAGGGGAATTAGCCCTGGATGGCTGAGACAGGCTATGTGTTCTGGAAATTCTACCTCTTGGACATGCATCCTATGTTTTCAGCCTCCTTGTTCTGTGGGTAGGATCATGTCACTGAGCTCTGCTTTCACTTTTTTTATTTGTGGAAATAAACATTCAGTCTGTAACACCTGCCTGTTTGAAATAACATCTTAATCATCAATCAGATTATTTGGAACAGATTTTTTTGTGTGTCCTTTTTCTTCCTTGTCACATTCTGGTACAGGCCACCTATGTGACCACCTGAATACCACATGACTCTCATGGGCCTGTCGTGTCCAGCACATCCAGTGCTGCATGATGAGTGTTTCTTCCAGGATGGGGATACAGTGACCTCAGAGATTGTGATCATCATAGTCCTGTTTTCATATGGGCCTGGAGCTGCCCACACTACTATAAGTCTGTTCTTAGGGTGAAGAGGGGTTATGAGAAATGTCCTGGGGTTTAAAGTCTGGGTAGTCTCCCCATGGCTGATACTGTGCCAGTGTTTGTTTTATTTTGCTTACACTCTGTTGAGGTGGGTTACTCTTTTTTTTTTTTAATTTTTATTTTTTGACAGGCAGAGTGGATAGTGAGAGAGAGAGAGAGAGAGAAAGGTCTTCCTTTGCCGTTGGTTCACCCTCCAATGGCCGCCGCGGCTAGCGCACTGCGGCCGGCGCGCTGCGCTGATCCGATGGCAGGAGCCAGGTACTTATCCTGGTCTCCCATGGGGTGCAGGGCCCAAGCACCTGGGCCATCCTCCACTGTACTCCCTGGCCACAGCAGAGAGCTGGCCTGGAAGAGGGGCAACCGGGACAGAATCCGGCGCCCCGACCGGGACTAGAACCCGGTGTGCTGGCACCGCAAGGTGGAGGATTAGCCTAGTGAGCTGCGGCACCAGCCTAGAGGTAGTTACTCTTGTTTATAACTTGAGTACCAACTGTGACTCCCTTTTTTATTTCACTAAGCCTTTTGCAGACAAAATATAATCTTGAATATTATGGTAGCTTTAGATTCCCTTTGATATCTTTTTTGTTATGCCACCTCATTTTGATCCTTTGTTTTATTTAAGGTGTTTGACTTTAGTTTACACATCCACAATCCCCTTCCTGAATTCTTAGTTATTTTGACTATCTTCAGATCTCAGTGGTATCCACTTGGATGGACACTTCCTCCAGGTGGTGGTACCATTGCTAAGTGACCTGGCAGCAAACACAGTGGCAGGCACTTCAGCTGCAGCTGCTCTTCTCTGACCTGCCACCCTGGGGACAGGCCTGCAGGTCACCCTTGCTACCCCTAGGGGATAGCCCCTTTGGCCTTGGCTATTCCCCCTCTTTCAAACACTAATCATAATAGGCAGACTTTAAATACAGATTAGAAGGGTATTTGTATGTTTCTGGTTAGCCAGTCAAAATAACCATACTTATTCCTAACAGTTGATTTTAAGGCAAAAAGGATTTTTAGACATGGGGCAAATCTATGCTGATAAAAGGATCAGTGTGTCACAATGATGATGCAATTCTGAATGTGCACCTCAGAAACTGACCTTTTATAAAGTGAAAATTGATAAAGGAGTAGACAAATCCATGATCATAGGGGAGTGGGATGTAGAAAATAGAGTTAAGAATTGGTTGGGGGAAAGAACATAATAATTAGCACCGAATGCTGATTACCTCATGCAGAGGACTTAGGGACTAGGTAGGGAACGTACATAATTCATTAAGTACAAGTACCAACAGTGACTGAACTTGGGCCAGGTTTTCGGGAAATGGTCCGTGTTTCAGGGATACGGTTTTAGGGTTGGGATCAGGAGCAAAGGTTAGGATTAAGGTTTTTAGGGTGAAGTTAGGGTCTGGGTATAGGGTTTAGGATCTAGGGTTTAAAGTTTTAGCATTAGGGTGTTAAGTAATGGTTCTTGTGGCTGGGGTTTAGGGGTAGGGTGTCAGTGAGATTTAGGATAAGGTGTAGAGTTGGAATTAGGGGTAGGGATTATCATTAGAGTTAGTGGACTGGGGTTAGGGTTTGGCTTGGGATTTTAGGCTTTTTAGGATAGGGTAAGGGATTGCGTGAAGGGTCAAGGTTTAGTGGTTGGGATTAGGGTTTGAGATGTAGAGAGAGGGTTTTATCAGGGCTAAGTTTGGGGTTAGGGTTTAGGGTCAGGGTAGGATTAGGGTATTTAGGTTGGGATTTAGGGTGAAGCTTAGGGTTTAGTTTTAGAGGGTTAGGTTTAAAGGTTGGGTTAAGATTAAGGGTTAGGGCTAGTGTTAGGGGTTAGGGTTAGGAGTAGATTTAGTTTTGAGTTTACTAGTGGGGTTAAGGTGAGAAGTTAGGATTGTAGTCAGGGTGGGGTTAAGGTTACTACTGGGTTACGGCTAGGATTTTAGGGTTAGGATTTAGGCATTTAGGCTTAGTGCTATGATGGGGTTAGGTTTTAGAGTTTGAATTTTAGGATGATTAATGTTGAGGCTAGGATTGGGTTAGAGTTAGGGCTGGGGGTTAGTACTAAGGCTAGTGGTTAGGACTGGGGATTGGGTTAGGTGGGGGGCTGGGATTGGAATTGAGTTTAGGGTTAGGAGTTAGGATCAGGGTTGGATTAAGGGTAAGTTTGGGGCCGGCGCCACGGCTCACTAGGCTAATCCTCCACCTTGCGGTGCTGGCACACCAGGTTCTAGTCCCAGTCGGGGTGCCAGATTCTGTCCCGGTTGCCCCTCTTCCAGGCCAGCTCTCTGCTGTGGCCAGGGAGTGCAGTGGAGGATGGCCCAGGTGCTTGGGCCCTGCACCCCATGGGAGACCAGGATAAGCACCTGGCTCCTGGCTTCGGATCAGTGCGGTGCGCCGGCCACGGCGGCCATTGGAGGGTGAACCAACGGCAAAGGAAGACCTTTCTCCCTGTCTCTCTCTCTCACTGTCCACTCTGCCTGTCAAAAAAAAAAAAAAAAAAAAAAAAAAAAAAAAAAAGGTAGGTTTGGGATTAGGGGTTCAGGTAATGGTAGAGTAATGGCTAGGGTTAAAATTAGGGTTAGAATTTATGGTTAGGGATATGATTAGGATTAGTGTTTAGGGCTAGGCTTAGGTTAGGTTTAGGGTTCTTACAGTTAGGCTTTTGGCTTTAGGGCTAGGGGTGTGGTTTTAGGGAAGGTGTGGGAGTGAAGGTTGAGTTTTAATGGTTAGTTAGGGTAAGGGTTAGAGTTAGGTTTGGGGTTTCAGGGTTAGGATTAGAGCTTATGTTAGGCTAGAGTAAGGGTTAGGGGTTTGGGCTTAGGCTGAAGCTAGGGCTAGGTTAAGGAAGTTGGGGTAGTGGTAGGGTTAAGGATAGAGTTGTGTTTGGGGTTAGGGTTATGGCTGGGTTACAGTTAGTGTTAATGGTAGGGTTAGGGTACGGGGTAGGGGTGGGGCTGGTGTTAGGACTATATCTAAGGCTAGAGTTAGGGTGTCTGGTTAGAGTTTTGGGCTTCGACTAAGGCTAGAGGTAGGTTTGGTGTTAGGGATAGGCTGAGGGCAAGGGTTAAGCATTAGGATAGCATTAGAGTTATGGTTAAGGTATGGGTTAGGGTTGAGTTTTAGGTTTAGGGTTTTAGGGTAAGGGCTAGGGGCTAGTGATACCAATTGGGGTTAGGATTAAGGCATGGGTTATGGTCAGAATTTAGGGTTAGGGTTTAGAAATTAGGCTTAGTGTTAGGGTTAGAACTAAAGTGTAGGGTTTAGGACTGAGGGACTGAGGTTAGGGTTTTTGTTAGGTTAGGTTTAGGGTTTGGGCTGGGGTTTTAGCATTAGTGTGGTTGGGGTTAGGGCTAGGGTTTAGGGTTATGGCTATGGCTAGGAATAGGGTGGAGGTAGAGTTAGGGTTGGGAGCAAGGTTAGGGTTAAATGTTAGAGCTAGGGATTAGAGTTAGTGTTCGTGTTACAGCTATGTCTAGGAATGGGGTTTGGAATTAGGCTCAATGTTAGGGTTAAGGTTTTAGGTGTAGGGTTTAAGGATGAGGGTTGGCTATGGCTAGGTGTTAGGTTTGTCTAGGGCTAGACTTTTGATAGGGTTAGGATTGTTACAGTTAGGGTTAAGGTTTTGCTTTAGGCTTAGAGCTAAGCTTAGAAATATGCATAGGGTTAATTGTGGGGTTAGTGTTAGGGGTAGAGTTTGGGTAGGATTTTTGGTAGGGGTAGGCTTAAGGCATAGGGATGGAACATGGTAAGTGTTGAGGGTTTAGTGTTACTGGCTAGAATTAGTTATGGGGTTTTAGGGTTTGGGTTAGGGGTTGGTGTGGTTGGGACTAGGGGCAGGACCTTGGGGTGAGCTTAGGGGTAGTGGCAGGGTTGGAGTGAGGTAGTGGTTATGGAAGGGTCAGGGCTAGAGCTTTGTTTAGGGTGGTTAGGGTTTAGAGTTAGGGATTTGGTGAGGGTTGTCTTTGGGTTGGGTGATAGCAATTTAGAGAGTTAAGGGTTATGGTAGCATTAGAGTTATAACTGGGCCTGGGGCTGATGTTGGTGTTGGATTAGGAGAAATTGCTAGGGGTTAGGATTAGGGTTTGGGTTGACTTTGGGTTATGCTAGGAGTAGACATATGGTTAGAGGTAGAGGTATGTTTAGGGTTAAGGCTAGGTGTTGGGATTAGTGCTATGGTTATAGAGTTTTAAGGTTAGGGTTAGAGTTTCATGGTTAGGATTTTAGGGTTGGGGTTAGGTTTAGGGATTGTACTAGGCTTAGTGTGGTTAGGGTTAAGGGTTAAGATTTAGACTTCAGGGCTGTGGGTAGGCTGTGGGGTAAACTTAAGGGTAGGGATAGGTGTATGGTTAGGATAAGTATTAAGGGTAGGATGAGGGTAGAATGAGGTCTGAGTCTAAGGTTTAGGATAGAGTTAGCATTAGGGTTAAGGTTAGGGTTGTGTTTTAGTATTTCTTTTTTAGGGTTGGGGTTTGGGTTTGGGGTTCAGGTAGGGCTTATGCTACAAGCTAGGCCTATAATTAACAAAAGTTATGGGTAGTTTTAGGGTTGGGACTAGGAGTTAGGGTTAAGGTTGTTATGGTTAGGGTTTACATTAGGATTCGGGTTAGGGAATAGGATAAATTTAGGGGTACAGTTAGTGGTAAGGTCAAGACAAGGGCAATGGCTAGGGTAGCATTAATGTTTGGGTTAGTTTAGGGTTACAGGTTAGGGTTTTTAGGGTTAGGAGTTAAGACTAGGATTTGGAATTAGGAATGGGACTAGG